GCAAGTTTCTGACCACGATAATTGCTTACCTTACCCATAAAGACTACTATATATCAGTATACATACATGTATATATATAGTAATAATAAAGTACATAGTATGGTAGATGGGTAATTACTTTTGTTACATTGTTTTATGTAATAATGTAACAACCGCGGAAAGATATTGTTTTAATTTGAATAAAACATGTTCAATACGTTTATAAAACTTATGCGCAGAATTTTATAGGCGTGTGTAATCTTCCAATTTTCAGAATAACAGTATTTGTAGTATAAATCAAGAAAAGCATTCCTGTCTTTCTTGTCTTTCTAGTGTTTTTTTTTTCATACGAAGTACTTAATTTGTTATCGTAATAAAAAAACTGAAAATACAAATTAAACGATAACAATATAAACTCCTAAAATTATTAAAATATATTATATTATATTGTCGTGATAATAGTTAATTTACGGGCAGAGAAAACTCAAAATAAATATCATCATAAATGACGTTCGCATTTTGTCAATAAACGTATAGGGCGACAGAATATTAGGGATAAGTATCTAATTGAAATATATTAACTCTGTACAAGGGCACTTCCCATAAGACTAGCAGTCTCAATTGGAATTTTGTAGATGGCACTATAAGTAAATTTAATGTGATAGATGAATATTTCTTATTATTAGATTAATAATATTTGTTAAATTTACGAAGAGAATATATTTTCTCTATTGAATCCAAATTTTAACATTACATTTAATTAAAATAGTTAAATTAGCAGCCATATTCAACAATATTATCTCGTGGCTAATATTCATCCGTTCACGAGTATGACGATAATTTTTTTTAGTGTTACATTTGTTTTCTAATTTAATCAGTTAATACCTATATTTGGCTTAGGTATCTACAAATTAAGGAAAAACCAACATGCACAAATCAGCTTACCGGTTTTTCCTCAATCTCAAGGAGTACAGAATGATTACTTGTTACCGTAACAGTTACACTTATATGTAATAAATACATAGGACTATAGGGGATTGGTAGTAAACAGGACCCCCCTTTCCTATAACCACGGCGGCAAACTATGATTGGATTCGACTTCATCTTTATCCTATCATCACTTATTCACTGACGTCCTTTTAGCGTATACCGTTACCGCAGGCGGGTGTAACAAGAAAAAAATGAGTACATATAATAATACACAAAGATAATTGGACAAATAAGCACCACATTGAATTTTACAACAATACTAGTCAACATTACCTGAACATGTAGTAGGGTTTATTCCCAATGGATATAATCGCTGGATCCATTTTCTTGGCACAGATGTGATATGTGTAAGAGAAGGGAACGAGATAAGCTTGTAAAATATAGATTTATATGTATAGATTTCTTACACTGGAATTGGTGAAAGGTTACGGCCCTATTGATGAAAGGTATCATTATTTTCCATTACCACACCTGACGGATTTGACAATGAAGACAATAACAGGAGGCATACATGTAGATTTTTTTTATACTTGTATGGTTAAGCTCAAGTGAGAGCTAATGTCTTTTAGAAGAAATTGCACTGGCTATTTTCATTTTTTAGGTATTTAATTACAAAGTCTAATAGGCCATCCGTCATATTAAATACTGATAACCAAACACCTAAATATTAGGAGAACTCTATGTTATTCAGGTGTTCATTTTATTGCAATAGTATTTGGTATTTGTTCACTATTGTACGTCTAAGTGACTAATGATCGCTTATTGTATGTTCTGCTTTTGAATTGATATAAATATGTAAGTAAATGTTCATCTCACTCTTCATACTGAAACGCGACATTCAAAGCACCACTGTTACCTAACAAAAGAAGCACCTTAGCATTACGTTGTTTAATCAACTTATATATGTATAATATAATTTAAAAATATATTTAAGCTCATCCAATCTTCATGGGTATATAATTACATGTACACAACAAAGCGATTTGTAGAACGTACGAATATATTAAATCCATTTTACAACATATACCTATAGTGCGTTAATTTACAATTTCATTCAAACCCGTTCGGTAGTTTATAAATAATGGAAATAAACATCATCCCAAATTTATTTTCAACCTATAATATTATTGTTGATGTGAATCTAAAATATGATACATTTGACTATTTATGCACGTTAAGTGTCACAATAATTCTGCAAAGGGTATATACATATGTATGAAGGGCATATTCCATGATCCATAAATTATTTTTCTGACACGTTTATTCTTTTAAAAATGTACCACATATATATCTCGACATCGTTTTAATCCTCATCAATTTGAAGCCTCTCTGTATACAGGACCAACCGCAACATTATGTAAGGGTATAATAACAAATATACATCAAAGCATATATTTATAGTGATTAAATTACGCAATATACGATATTTTAGAACAAAGATAGTGGTTACATAATTGTAATACTAAAAGTCAGATTCAAAGCAACTATATTTTATTAGCGTACAATATAAATTTCCCCTTCTTTGGGTATTATAAAGATTACCCAATAGAATAGTGAAGCCCTTCCGTTCAATTTCGTAAATCGTGTTGTGTTGACGGTACCTCGCTCTGACGTATCGCTTTCCCGCCTTCAGAATCTAGTTCTTGATGGCAAATTGAATTTTTTTACAAAGGATCCTGGCCACAGATATAGAGATAGATGACGCATGTGGCGTCATTTATAAAAAAACTAATCTGTACTACTGTTCATAATCTGTTCTAAATTTAAGTTAAAGTACTACTCTAGTAGTACTTTAACTTAAATTTAAGTTAAAGTACTACTCTAGTAGTATTTCAACTTAAATTTAGAACAGCTAGTGTTAAAACTTTTCTACGTTTATTTGTGAATAATTATATATTATTTATCAATCATCAATATAAAAAGCATTGTTTTTTATTTTGATAATGTACCGACTTGTAATTTCACTACAACAAATTTCTTTAGTCGGTACAGAAGTATAGAGATAGAGATTAAAGGTATAAAAGAGATGCATCGAGACATCCACTTTAATCTATATCTGTGCTTCAAGCAGTTTATTCAACATTTACTCGACTGCCAGTTGAACGTTATAGTACATTTGTATATGTATTTACTCTCTTATTCATAAAAATGTCAAATATATAATAAACATGTCTTAGATATTATATAGTTTTATTCTTTTGACTTATAATAAGTGTGAAATCAAACATATATTATATAAAATCAAACACAAGCGTATTTGAATAATCTATTATATATATAATAAATTGCCTAGGACTGAAGCCTTTCTTTTACAGGTAACCAGTAGATAATTGTGATAAGATGATAATTGAAAGTAAAATATATTTTTGTTTATATCAATGTCGATAAATAAGGTAACTCGTTCTGGAGAGTCGTCAGGTGTAATTAATGACATATTTGAAACGGGTATTTAAGAAACAGTAGCTCAATAATTGGCACTGAAAAAAACACAAAAGGGTAACAGAACATTGCGTGTTTAAGCAGGCGCACTTGTTATATAGTGTAGAAAATAATTACACCGTATTTATATATTATTTAATAGCACACGTATATAGTAACACATAATTTAGTTTTACACATGCATGCGAACTCATACTATATTATTTTCATTTGTGGTATGCTAATAACATAAAATACTTTCAATAATAAGCTTGGTATATCTATATATACAACACAATATTAAAACTACAAATGTGTGTTATACCAGTATATAAATATGGGAAAACATAAACTGCCATCACATATCGATAAAACTAATATCTTACATAGCATGAATTTATTATTATACAATTACAATATATTTGGCAACAAATATTCTCAGTCTCTTAATATGCACAATCATTATGTAGATACAAATAAAGAATCCGGTCCAAAGCAGTCAAATAATTGTTTAACAATTACAATAATTTACTTATCACATCACAATATAAACATATCATCATAATTATTATAACAAGCCTTATCATCGCACAACTGGACACGGGTCTCTCGTCTGGAACGGGAAGATTTAACACACTATTAACTTTAAAATAGTCCAGTAAATTGCCCAATTCAGTACATACTTAAATTTTGAGATGAAGTTAAAAACTTTAAAAGTACATACGAGATCAATCATATACATAATAACTATAATATATATGATACATGTGGGAAGGAATTGTTAGTATAGGGCATTTTTTGTTATGTGGCATATCAGGTCCACTTCCATGCATTCCTCTTTGATAACCATCATATACATAACTTCATAATAAATTTGTACATTTGTATACAATAGTACTATTATATACACAGAGTTGTAAGGTGACATTGATGTCCGATAAATTGTGATACCTATTTGTGCCTCCTCATTCATTTTGTTCCACAACATCGTCTAGATAGCAACGTTTCTCATATAATTCGCTCCACTTCCTGATAATGCCCCCACTCGTTGGACCCTTGTCACAATATGCCCACAGGGAAACTGTCGACCTTGAGTTGCTGCGCCGTTATTTTTGTTTATTTAATTACCTAAATAATTTAGAGCACATTTTCTAAATTTTATATAGTACATAGAAGGGTCTACAACCATAAATAAGAATAGTTGAAAATACAATTTATCGAAAAAAATACTAAATTGATATAAAAATATAAGAAACTCGTATCGTAGGTATGTATTAAAAATTAAGTTTCGACTGTAGTGTGCAAACTGTTTTCTTATAGAATACAAAATTACATTTGTTAAAGAAACAGTAATAAATTATTTCTATTACGTAAATGCAACTGAATTGTAAAGTGGTAATTAAATTACAATATTTTATCTTAAGGACAGATTAGTTATGTAGAAATGGATTAATTCTTAGTTATGATATAAGTATATTGACTGATAAGTTCATCGTCGTATCTACGAAAATATTATATATTTGGGTACAATAAATATTCTGATAATGATTTGATCAGATAAATTTCCAAGTCGTTTAAAAAAATGAACTTTTAAATATATGTGCATTAAAATAATGATAAACAAATGGCGGTTCTTATATTATATATTTTTTAGTTATTATGCAGGTAATTTATTTGACAGTTTGTACCCGTTACTTTTATTACAGATTATTTGACTTTATGATATCTATACAACTTTCACTTGTCTTTAACTTTCCTGTAAATCAAACCATACATAATATACAGAGAACAACTTCCACTCTATACTTAAACCTCTATACACGATATTGAAACACTTACATCAGATCAGACAGACGATCACTATATAAATTCTATTCTATTATGTCTTAGTAAATGTTTTATTTTATAATCGTTTAAACATGTTTTTAATATCTTTAACATTCAAACTTTGGTCCCTTTTACCCTTTTAGAAGAACATGTTATCAAAGTTTGACGACCAAAGAACAGGAATTAATATTTTTGTATACCCAGTCCAAAGACCGATACAATTTAATAAATTGAAATACTAGTAAAACTATCGAAAGAGTAATCTACATGTTTTTTTCCATTTACTTTAAATAAATAATTATCAATATTTATTGTTATTAAAACATCCTTATTGCTATTCTTAAATGTGCTATTATACATTTTCAAATTTGCATCCAAATTGTTATTGTTAATATTTATATCCTGCAGCGTATTTTTAATTGCGATACACTTATTGGATATTCTTAATGCTCATCTTGTTCCTGTTTATGTTTACTTAGCCATGTATATTTGTACAAGAGTGCTACCAAAATACCACCTATGAAAGGCCCTGCCCAGTATACCCAATGAGCGTCCCATTTATTGTTCCAAACTGCAGGTCCTAATGATCTAGCGGGATTCATACTAGCCCCAGTCAAAGGACCACCAGCTATCGATAATCCCAGAATAGTCAAACCAAATTTCAATGGAGCGGAATCTTGTTTACTTTCATTTATCGGATCCCACAAACCACAGTTTATTAATGAAAGTGCTATTGTTAAAACCAGTTCAATTGCAAATCCTTGAACCTCGTTGATACCTTTATGTAGCTGAGTCATACAAATTCCTTCAGTTAACATATCAACAGGAGACACGAGAAGAAGGAATCCATATCCCAAAATTGCTCCAGCGCATTCGACAAATATAAAAGCCACTCCAAGGGATACAGGTATCTTGCCCCATATAACAGCAATAGTTGTAACAAATGGATTCATAAACGCACCAGATATGTGTCCGAATATTTGTATATTAAACATAACTGTCAAACCAAAACCTAAAGGTGCGTAAACTGCAGGATTCTGTGTATATCCTTCTAAGGGTATACATGACATACATCCAAATATTATCAATAGGACTGTGGCTATGAACTCTGCTAAGATAGGTTTCCATTGTAATGCACACCAAATTGTTATCGATTTGAAGAGTGATTTACTTTTAATAGTTTTATTCTCAATTACGCCGACGACAATTGATTGAGTATTTGGGGGCACCGTCATATTAATAGTCTTATGTTACACGTATTACTGAGACAGTAGCATTCGGAAATATAAAATTTAAATCACGCACTGTTCACCGAACCCGAATAACGGATATTAACAGCTGATGATTCACATTCACTTTGAAACTAATCTTTACATTTAACTGTTATGATCGACACTTACGTGGAACTGATCGCACACGACCGACTCGCGGCTGGCACACGTTACGAGTACCTAATAATTTTGTTATGTGAATGTAACCAACAGCTAAAATGATATGGATGCAGTACTAAACAAAAGTATTACCGTTATCAACGATTTCAGAAAATAACGTGCGTGTGTACTGTTTATTTTAGGGAATCACTCTTTATATTATTATCTTTTGTAGATAATAGTTACAAAATAATTATTTTAGCAAAATAACAATATCATTTATACAAATTGGTCTTTGTATTTCCTTTATTATCGCATTTTATTTATCTTTAGCAATTTATACAAAATTATTACTTAGGGAACTAAGGATTTTTCAATATTTTAAAACACAATAAACATAAGGGTACATCTTCTAAGTGTTCTTTAAAATGTAAATGATGTGATAAAAGGAACGTAAAATTTGAAATCATTGTGATAGATCGTTGTAGATATGGCTTCCCGATCAATGAAATATGAACAACTTGATACGTTGACTTGCGCCCACTTCTTTAATCAGAATTAATTTAATTGTCACCACTATGTAGCAGGTAAAGTCTATCTCAGGATAGAGTATCCTGCTCATAAATAAAGGTTTGAGCATACTTTTGCATTTATACTAATATAAATATGTTAAGTCAGTAATTTCTGTTAATAACTAATCGAAATTAAAGTAATTTTAGTGTAATTTGTGTAAGCTTTTTTAATAATAGGGTGGACATTAGGGAATGCAATCCCGATCCCGCGGGATCCCGATCTCGCGAGATCTCGTGTAATTTTTCGGGATCAATCCCGACGCATCATATGACGAGATCCCGTTCGAGATTGACGAGATTGGGCGGCAGTAAAAAAGAAATAAAAAATATAATCACACGATTATATCGTAAAGAACCAAACCAAGCAGATATTAATACGGCAGTACTAATCGAAGATGACTTGCCTCTTTAAATGATTGCAGAAGATTTGAATTTACGTGCTGCACAAACTAATAAATCGCTTCAAGAGGAATTAGAAGAAACTCTGCGAGCTTCTAAAAGTCCTTTTGCACGTATATCCACGTCCACGAGCTTAGACAAATTAGAATCTACCATTAAAAAAGAAATGGATTTGTTTGAGTGTGGAGGAACAAGGGGGCGATTTTTGCAGTTTGCATATAATTGCTTCGCCATGCTGTTGCCAACCAGCGTCGGAGAGGGCATTTTCAGCAGCGGGGTACATTGCAACGGACATTAGATGCCGTTTAGCAGATGAAACTATTAATACCCTTTGTTTTTTAAGGAGTCATTTTCAAAATCACTGTTCCCTTGAAATAAGCTTATTGTTTTTGATTACCTAATTTAACTACGTTAATTTCCTTACAACCTGATTATTATTTAGTTGGTAAGATTAAAGAATAAAGGTTTTTATTTTCTTTCGAGTAATATGTTATTTTAGTTAACCTCACTATCACAAACAAGCAGTTATTAGCTTTTTCAGTCATCTGAATTCAACATTTTTTTTAAATTTAGACGGGATCCCGAAAATTCCGGGATTGATATTTCTAATCCCGCGGGATCCCGAATTTGCAATCTCGAGTCGGGATTGCATTCCCTAGTGGACATATTGTTCATCAGTGTCCTATCGTTTTATCAGTTTTACCTATATTCATTAAATATAGTAAAAAAAAATATGTTTTTTTTGTACAACGTAATTTTATAAAAAAATTAAGTAAATAAATAGCTTAATTTTTTTATCAAGTAGTGACTGTACTCATAGGTATATAAAATTTATAATAGGTAGTCTTAGGAATGCTTACTGTTTATGACTTTTCCTCATATAAAAGAATAACATATTTGTGTGAATGTAAGACATATACATATATAATAAAATCATAAAACGTATGACAACAGTCTTTAGGTAAGTTTCCGCTTACCAAATTACTCTTACTCTCTGTAGATATAATGATTATGAACGTTAAATTAAATGTTAGTGCAATCAAAACCTTTTATGTTTCATGTTAGTTTTATAAAGTTTATATTTTCAATCCAAGTGAATTGTTAGAGCCAAATAAAATTTTTAAGTCGTGGACATCGGTATTGGGCATACTATTATTAATTCATATTTATGCACTTAAATACTTACTACACTGTGAAACTGTTTATTTCCTAAATAAAATAAATAAAGGAATTCTTTTTATGTAATGTTTACTAAAGTTTAGTTTATCGATTTCAAATCGAAGACGATCACTTTACTATATTGGCAAAAAAACATAGTTATAGTATATAGAATTAATATGCTTTTCAACCAAATATAAATATAATAATAAACCTGTCTATCCACTACCAGTTTTGCTTCAAGTCAATATTTGGCCTTTGGTGAGAAGAGTTCAATATCTGACGATAAAATATAATATATAATGTCATTTTAATGTAATTGCTACCTACCTATCGTCCGTTGTAAAACTTTTGTTATTTTTCAGAAATATTCTAATACAGCTAGCTGTAGCTGACTATTATAAATTCACGGAACGAAAATGGGTGAGAATGTGGACCGCACTCCAATCCCTGGTATCAATCATTTAGTACGGCGACTCATATAGGGTCTCAGATAGAGAAGAACCCAATATCCAGCGTTTTAATAACAATAAAAATGTATAAACATGTGTTTTTGGATTTGTGTCACTTAGATTACAGAATATATGTTTTAATTGAAGTTACCTCTCTGTGGGATTGTCTGGCGCATTGCAGTACCTATTAATAAAGGGATACCTACGGAATACTCTTAATATGGTGAATGGTGAACCAAAAATGAAATACCAGGCAGATATCTGATATTTTATTCAGATTACCTCAGTTTCCAGTCCAAGATAGCGGTAATAAAAATTTAAGTTCAACGTTTTAAAATATGTACCTACCTAACAATTTATATATTTACTAATTAATAATAATATAATATAATATAATTACTTAATAACAATAACAATTTACTTAATAATATGTACTGGTATTAGGTATTAAATAATATTTAACCAAAAATCTGAAATACTGAAGCTATAATAATAAAATATACTAACCACACACTCAAAATAAACGACATTTTCATTCCACTGTACCTATTCTTGACCGTATTACGTAACTTCATTAATTTTGAAAGTTATTTGATGATTCGTTTTGCAATCCTATAGTATATCTCTTAAATAAACTGGCATTAGGATGTATAGATAGATATATATACTTATATATAAGTTAGATATAGACTATTTTTTATCTCAAAAAAGCAGATGTAGTCACGGGTAACAGCTAAATATCCTCACAAATTTACTTACGAGTGCGCAATAGTAGTCTCAGTAGGTATATGCATATGTATTAGCAAATTCTATGCATATCATTAAGAAATCTTCCAGATGCAATGTGAGGAAATTCACTAAATCTGTTTTAAAGATGTGAAAGGAGTGAACAACGGTTTTATGCTACAACTAAAATTGGAATTTTCTATGGCTAATATATATAAATCGTATGAAAAAATAGCTGTTTCCATGTCTGTTTCTCTGCTTACTTCTTCTGAATCATGCAAGTTATTTTGATAGAGAGAGAGAAAAGAATAATATTCTAAGAAGACCTAACCTTCTACAGAGACCCTTGTCTTCAAATGCACGCTGCAGATTTCTCCACGCTTCAAATGCTGTTTCACAGTGTCTAACATTTGAATAGACGGCAGGAAGTACGCTTAAGCATATCTTCGCTAATGCTTTTTCTTGCTTTTTCCTGTCCATTGTCGCTACTAAAAATGGAGAACCCGAATGGTTCTCCATTTTTAGTAGCGACAACGCAATCGTACAAATCTTCATGTATGAGTGTCATTTTCATCTGGAATTTCCAATTGCCGTAATTTGCCATTCCCGACAATTTATCCATAGTTAACGATGAAGAAGTCATTTTGAAGAGTATTTGCGTGTATGAATCGTAATTGTTACCGCTCTGCTACCATATTAGAGAAACAAGATATGCAGTGTAAAACATAAAATTGTATTCAGTTCAAACAACCGTTACTAAGTAACTGACTTTTCTTTCTTTTTCGGTATATTAGATTATAAACCTCAATAGTTTTTACTTCCGAATTTTCTCGTTTGGTTTATAAGTAATACATATATTTAGTTACACAACCTCAGTCATACTGCACACCCATGCGAGGCAGAGGTGGATCGATTTTATTATATATACATATCTACCGTATATGAGTAATATATTATAATATAATATTAAGCGCGATTTTGGGGAGTGATTAGGGCCAGTCCGCTAGTTATTTTTTTAAAATACAAATAACTGCCCAGAACCGGTGGTTTATAGATAATATATCTATATGATTATATTATAATCAATATAAACATTTGATAATTTCTAAACGGTAAGACGAGTTAAAAACAATGTTTCTAGGAAACTATAAGCCTGATTTTTAATAGCATATCATCACACCCATCTGCGAGATTGATAACATAAATATATTGTAACAAAAGCATCCTGTTCCAACCAGTATATATTATTACTAAGTAACTACTAAAGTAATTGTCACTCAAGTGTTATATAACATAGTTTTGTTAATATAAAAAATAGCCACTCCTTATCAATTTTCAACTGAATTCCATAAAAAGGCTGACATTGTATTGTTTTGCACATTAGATATGCTACATCTATATATAAAACGATCTAATTTTTATTTTATAATCAACATTTCCGTATTAATTTAGATACCGCAATTTCCATTTATTGTGTAAGAAAATAATAATCTTTAATAAGGTATTTTTTTTTAACTTTCTGTTGCATTATATTAGTTCCTAATGTATTTTGTATATTATTTATAGTCCTCGCTGACCGGCGTAGAAACGCCTAGATACTATTTATCCGTAGTTTGACAGATGATTTTTTAACTGAATAAAAACCTTTCCTTTAGCTAAATCTAAAATACCTATACGTTTCAATATGTAATGGCAAAAGTAACTCAGTATTAAAAATAATAAAAAGTAAAGAATATCCTTTGATTAATCATATATCAGTGCTAATTAGATCTTGTTACTTTTTTATCATCATAATTCAGATCTTTACTCATTATTTTTGAGCGACAGTGCATGGTTTTGCCA